AAAACCTTGTCGACACGTTGTTCATTTGCTGTTATGTTAAACTTATATTAAAGTTTTTCTTCATTACCCATTCAAGCCGTCTCCAACCATTATTATTTTTTGTATGTTCATTTCAAATGGCCTGCTATACAGGGTAATTCATAACGCTCGTTTCCGAGTCTTTGTCTTGGTTTAACAAGACATTATTGGAGCTGCATATGTTTCTTGCTTCTAATACGAAGCGGAATAAATGAATATTCAGGAATCTAACAACTATTTTAAGAACTATTTTAGTGGTTTTGTTTGCCAAGAAATAGGAATCTATATCTACCTATACACTAACATACAAATCCGTTGATATGGAAATAATAAACCTAAGTTTGAAACTACCGCTGAGCCATTAGGGAACAATATGACGATAGTGTTCCGATCAATATATTATATCAATGCACATCATACGTGAATTTGTTGGTTTATCATTGAATTTCTCACACAGCCTTAGAGCTAGTACGAACAAACTGGGCAGGCAGACTTGTACTACCTCGGGTGTGTTCTTTTCTATATGCCTTAGCTCCAAACGATAAAGGGTGTACAATAAGTGGGGAAGGACTCCCAGAAACAGTGGGTGTCTAGGAGTAGGTTCTTGTTGTCGCTGAATTAGTATCTTCCATCAAATGGCGTGTTTCTGACATCCCTTAGGATCTCGGGAAACCAGTGGTCATACCCTCACTCACACTACTAGTGGGTAAAGAGTAGCTGAAGACATGACAGTGGGTGGTGTTGACTACTTGTACTCTCTCTAGTATGTCTCTTTAAAAATACAAGACAGTTAGCGTAGATATGTCTCTCAAGTAGTTTTGCACGAAATTAAAAAAGAAACTGTGAATCATTAGTGGGGAAACGTGCTTTGTACTATGTGTAAAATGATAATAACAAACACATATACATCTCTGAATAGTTCGATAATTTTCATGAACAATAAGCCAATGAATAATAATAACATTGTTTTGTTTAAAGTGTTTTATTATATATTAATCACAACAGAATTTTAAAGGATGCTTAATACAAATTGCAAGTAATTTTCTTTAATGAACTAATAAACTGTTTTTATTGTTACTCCTTTAGTTTTAGTTAAATTATCATTAAAGTAGCAATGCACTTTATAATTTACTTGGAGTGATTTAAGTTCGTTATATTTTGCTTTAGCTACTGAAGATGGAATCTGTAGAATTCCAAGACGATTATCTGTGTCTCTTTCGATATAAATAATGTGGTTCGACATAAGTGTCATAATCTTTTTACTGTCAAAGTTCGTTTCCCAATGAATATACTTATAAGTAATAATTGTAAATTACTAAGGTCACAGTTTGATATGGTTATATTTTATTTTTTAGATTGTTTCATGATTAAACTCCCAAGAGTTTTGTACTTGGATGTTAACGAGGAGTATGAAACAATATCACTTTCAGTATTTGGGGAAAATGTACCGAATTTATCTATATTTACTTGTGATTTTGTCCCGAAATTTAATGCATCAAGCAAGGTAAGGTGTGATTTATAAAACCAACTGAAGCTTGTATCAGTTTTGAAGATTTTAAATTACCAATTATAATTCCGTATTGTAACCCATGAAAAATGTTCTAAATAATTGTTTAGAAAATATTAGATCTCTATAGACTAATAAAAACTTGTTAAATGCTTTATAAGGAAACAAATTAATAACCATTATTATTCTTATTTATTATTATTATTATTATTATAGCAAAATCACACTGAAAAATTACTATTATTATAAATGTGATTTTAACCATTTTTTTTAGATTTTTGTGTATTGAAGGGATTCGTACTTTTACTTGGAAGTTATTTTAAATAGTTTGGTTTTCGACTAAACGACGCCTAATATTCTAAAAATTTCTCATAACTACTTTTATTTACAGTTCTATCATTTCGAGAGGTTGCTTGACGTACTTTAATTATCTTTCTTATTTTTACACAATTTTGACCTATTTTATTGTTTTAATATGATTCTTAAAATTCTAAATATTAACAGGATTTCTATTACTTTTCCCGGGGGTAAAAATACTGCAACATATTTATAGTGAATCTGTTTTCCCTAACACTAGTGTTAAACTATAATTAACACTTGCAAGGTTCTAAGCCCAAGAACAGTAAGAAATATATTTCGTTTTGTTAATAAAACTCTGAAAACATATAAAGTGCAGAATCCACAATAACTGTGTCATACATATATATATATATATATGTGTATATAAAAGATTAAAAGCAGAAATAGAAAAAATCCACGTAGAGATCACAAAGGGCGTAATCGTTGGAAGAATTATATACATGACAATATGAGTGCGAGGCAATCCGTAGAACGTTACATAAGTTTTGTTAGTACTGTATTGTATGTAGTATTTGAAAAGCTGTATGTTTCACGTGTACTTTAACGTAGGAAAGTCTTTATTTCTGTTATATATATATACTTATGTTTTTACTTTTTGTGAATATTTCAGATCAAAACACCAAAACTGGAAAAATATCACTCACCACAACTATTAAGTTACAAAGATAGTCGCTCAGTTATTTTAACATGGAAAATGGAATCTGACTGCACTCTGGGATTGTACTCACTTCGATGTGTTGTACAGATTAATAATACCACACATACAGTTGAATCGGAACAAGACGGCTCAATATTTATACTCAATTCGAACACTCAGAGAATAGTGAATGGTGAACCAACAACAATACGACTTGGAAGTCAACAAAAGGTAAGTCATTAGAAATTCAGTACTTTCTGTATTAAGTAAGCCATTCACAAGGACATACACAATAAGTATAACTGGGTATTTATTTACGATCAGAGTAAGCTACTTACTTAAAGGCAAACTAAAAATGAACCTAGTAATGAGAATAGCTAATTAAATATACTTTTCTTATGTTTTTACTTTTAAAGATTAGAATATATTATTCCGTCATATAGCCGTAGACTCAATAATATCTCAATAGTTTCGGTTAAATTAGAAATATTTCGGTTATTCCTAAATACATGCAGAGCAATATCTATAATAAAAGTATAATAATAGAAATTCAAATTAAATATATTAAACTAATGTTTATGAAGACATAAGCTAATAAATAAGATATTAAATTAATATCTGAATTGTCTAATAAATAGCTAGAAAATTGGGTGTGCAATTAAGATATAGCAATGTTAAATTGATACAAAGAAATCAGTAGGATACTTTAACTTACTTTGACAAACCTCTGTCACTTAAAACAGATGAAGTGGGAATAGGAAGTAATAATTAAATCTCTTGTACAAGCCGAAAAGTAAACACAATAAGCCTCAAAAAGTTCACTAGTCATAATAAGACATAGAAACCCAAGTTAGAATAAACGTAAATATGGAAAATAAGGTAATTATAAAAAAACTAATGTTATTTGACTAATAACGTAACATCATACCATATAAGGAATTGTTATATATATGTAGCGTTAACTGTATTTAAAATAGAGTTTAAACTAAAGATAAGTAAAACTAATAGCGGTCACTACACAGAATTGGATCACTCATGCTAGAGACAAACAGTTACTCCCTTAAAGATAAACCCACTGAAAACCTTCACAAATAGGGAGTTGTCAAAAGTAGCTCATTTTTACTCTTACCTTACACATATTCATTCGCAATTAATTGCACAGTAACTTCTTCATAGTGAATAATGAACAGAACAGAAAGCAAATATTTAATTATTCTACCTTATTGTGAAAACCTTAAAGTATGTCTCCTATGTATACAGTTTACATCCATACAACATTATGTAGTGTTTGCGTGAATAGCTCTACAAAAACAAACAGAAAAAATAGAAAAGAAGGTTACTGGTAACGTTTACAAATGATTTAACCCAGTGTGAGGTAGCTCCGTTAGTAATTGTATAGTTTATTAATATTCATATAGCAATGTTGATTTGTGTTGATTCTGTATTCCAACAATGTGAACATGTTTGAATATTTTGTTAAAAGCACAAAAATTAAGTGATTTTTGTTTTTACTGTGTCATTGAAGTCCCAAAATATACTGATATATAGTGCTTTATGTAAAATTATATCTTAAAAAAATAGGATATTCTTTTCTGACCGTAACTTTCGTCTTTATTTTATTGTTTTCCTTTGAATATGAAAATAAGAACATTTAAATGCTTTATTTTCATCATTTGTTTACAGATTGAACTGAAGCTGAAGGGTTTTCCGCCCATGAAATATGAGTTATCTTGTTGGGGATTTAGTGGGAATAGGATATCTCGGTTTCCAACAAGGAGAATCGCTGATGATGTTATTCAATGTGATATATCTCAAGTAAATATTTGTGAATTTAACATGACCGTGCAAACAAGCAAGAAATTTGATCAAAGGTAATGTTTATTAAAATAATTGTTAAAAACTATGAGTTATACGTTAATTCTAGCAAATATAAACAATATACGTTTGCATTTATCACATACTACAATCGAGTACATACTGAAAGATTATCATTCTTAGCTTCAAATGTGTTACGCACATGCAAAAGTCTACATTTCACGGGTCCCAATGTTTAACAGGAAATTCCAAGCTTATGTAACATAATAAATTGTCTGTGACATATTGTTGCAGATAGAGTTTTACAAGAATGACCTTCATTGTTTATGGACATTATTATTGTACTGATACAATGGTGTAATCGATAAACAGGCAAACGACAGTTTGAGGTCTGTCAAAAGTGACGAAAATCATGTTTTATTGCAGATTTTTTCCTAATATTTTTCTAATTTCTTCGCCATATAATACGAATCACAAGTGTATAAAAACATCATTTCATAGACAAATATGTGAAAGATCACCGTTTTATTTCGGTCCACGATATAACTGATATAAAATAAGATAAATAGTAAGTTTAAAACAGTTTTAATTTAAAGAACATATGAATGAATTCATTCAGTCTTGTTTTATTTTACAATATACTGTTATTCTGTTCTTCCTGGTGACAAATTCAAACAAGTGTGAAGTTAAAACTAGGATTACTAATAAAATCAGTAAAAGACAAACTCAAATTTACTTTAATAATACTACATACCGTGAATTCATGTATTATTATACATTTATGGTAGTTCTCTATGATTCAGTTTGATTACAAATACGATCAGCAGCATAATTAAAATACTTTTCAATGATAATTTTAGTGCTTTTATCAGGCAAGAGCTTTTGTAGTTAGAGATGTTATTGAAGTTCATGCTGATAAGCTACTTTGTTAAGATCCATAAGCATGAATTAATAGAACATCCCATTATTTTGATATGAAAAATACATAGCATTAAATACATGTTGACCACTATAGCTCTATGACTTCATAGATGTGTCTTGATTAATTTGGAAGGTAATGGATAGGAATAAATATATATCTAAGTATGAAAGGAACTTGACTTAAACCTTAAACAGGAGATGAGAAGCTATTATGAGTAATTGCAGAATAAAAGCGCTATAGTTAAATAAATGAAGAACTGAGATAATTGTTCGACGTAAATAAAATTACGATACGAATTCTAATATAATTTAATATTCAATTTTGTTGACTTAATTTACTAACTGCTAAATATTTTAATAATGAGCTCCTCCAAAAATAAAACTATATAGAATTTATCAAACATGTGTCAAGAAAAACTTCATATAATACTTGACATGGTTTTTAGGACAATAAAATCATTGTACATACTTTGGTATTTTCAAAAATATCTATATGTTTCAAATTGTCATTGACAAACTCTGTAGCTTCATATTCATATTAAAAAATCTAATAACTATTTAATATTATACATACATAATAATATATATGTATATGTGTTCAGTTGATAGAGTACGTTATATCAAAATCATTTTATACATGCAAATCTGCCAATATAAAGTCACAATGGAATGTAATACATTCTGAAATTGTTTTTTCTTAACATAAATAATGTGATTGTACAGAAAATTGATCGCTTTTTGGAAAAGTGACAAAAGGCACATGTAGGCAAGTTGTTTCCACGACCTATCATTTAAATTGTCGGATTATTTATTACAGGAGTTTTTATATATATTGGTCTTTTCTTGCCACTCTTTAATGAAGGAATAAATGCTATAATAATTATCATATCTGTAATTTTTAAATAGTCTAAATTCGTAGAATACTAGCTCTACCTTTCTGTTACTTTGGAAAAGTTTGGTAAAGAATACCGAGTAAGTGATTTGGCATGTTAATATTTAAACACAGTATATTTTCACTTTTATGCGGGTAGACGTCTCTTTTACTAAGATACATTTTAGTACTCTCACACTGTCGTTTGTATCGTAGTTTTTGTTTTGTCTATATTTACGTCGACTTTTGTTTAGGCATAGACAGACATATTAAATGACAAAACTCAGTCAAGGTAAGAAGATATGTTTCATATCTCTCTCTTTTGAATATTGTAATTAATATAGCTTTTACTTTTAATTTGTCTGTCTATTTACATAAACAAATATATGTGCCAAAATAAGCCACAAATACGATGTATGAGAAGGAAATGTAGTTGTTTTATGTTCTACATACATAACACATACATAAATATGTTTAAACAATTCCTCATTAAACAAATGAAAACTAAATACAAATATTGAAATAAGATGTAAACAAAGGTAAAATAAAACAATTATTATTCGCTTCCTTTATTTTTAGAAAATATTTTGTATGTTTATCAAAAAAATAAGATTTTATAACTATATTATCCTTATTAGCTGAGGTTGGCTCAGAAAGGATATAAGGGATAAAGTAAAGAAAAGCATCATAAATCTAAGAAATTTAAATTGACTTGTATGACGGAAGATTTAGAAGATTATAGAAGATCAAGAGATTTGGTAAAACAGGAAATTAGGACATTAGAAAGGATGTACGAAACATGGTTGGCTGAAAATGTAAAATTAACAGTAAGGATTTCTTTAAATACACTATGGTTAAACAAAATGTTACCATGGGAATATGTTTTTTTAAGGATGATATAGTAAGTTTCGTATCTGATGATTCTGAGATGAGTGAATTACTAAATTCTGCTTTTTCTTCAGTTTTTATTAATGAAGATTTAAGCAACATTACTCATTTTAAACAGTTGAAAGATGGAAACAAGATCGAACAAGATGATCACATTAATTCTGAGCTTGGTAAGAAAAAAAATGGGAAGGTTAAACAATGATAAGGCTTTTGGGCTAGATAATATTTCCTGATGAATTTTGAAGAAGGTTGAGGATGGGATATGTGAGCCACTTTCTACTATTTTTTTTGCACTTGAATTTTTTTTAAGTCCTTGAATAGTATGTAGGTGTTAGAGGATGGGAAGTAGGATAATGCTACTCCTCTTTTCAAGTGAGATGACAAAAAATTGCCCCATTAATTATAGACCCATTAGTCTTACATCAGTTGTGGGAAAAGGTTTGGAAAGTCTGATAAAAAATACTTTGCAAAGTAATTTAACAAAGTTTCGAATTTTATTGGATAGTCAACAGGGGTTCACTAAAGGAACATTTTGCCTTTCAAATATTTTGACATTTTTTGAAAAGGTTACTGCTTATGTAGACGAGGGTAAGGTTGTAGATTTGGTGTATCTGGAATTTCGGAAAGCATTTGAAAAGATGCCGCATAAAAAGACTTGTAAAAAATTATCTCTATAGGTGTGGGGGATAAGTTAGTTAATTGGATAGAAGAGTGGCTGGATGGAAGAAAGCAGAGAGTTGTTATAAATGGAGTTCAATCAAACTGGATTAATGTCACAAGTGGGGTATTTCAGGGTTCAGTCTTTGTTCTTTTTTATTTACATCAATGACATAGATGGAGGAATGGCCAATAAATTACTTACATTTGCTGATAATATTAAGGTCTTGGGTGTTGCTGGCCGTAAAGAACATGCTGCTACTTTACAAAAGGATTTAGATCATTTAGGGAGTTGGGCAAATAAATGATAGATGGATTTTAATTATAATACATGCAAGATAAAAAGAAATACTTTTTTGAATATTAACTTACTTTTTTTCGACATATTTTGAAACTGAGAATAAATTTTGTGATGAATTAAAATTATATAAGAAATTATTTCTTGTAGGTTTGGTCCTGAAGTCCAGAAACAAATAAAAATGGTGTCTTATCTGCCTGCAGTACTTTCAGCGTATTTAACTACGGACCTTTTGGAAATTCATATAAATTTCAATACAAGCATGGTACTTACAACCAATAACTGTTCTCTTATCTTTGATGCATCTACCATACAACTGTACGGATTAAATGGTAAGGATAGCAATTTATTATGTATTTATTTTTATAAATTATGTTTATAATAACCTTTATTTTTTACGATACCTCCACTTTCATAGTATGTTTGTCTTTTTGCTAATACATTATTTCAGGAAAAGTAAAATAATCAGATAAATTAAAGTACAAGAGTTTGTAAAGTGGAATATTTACCTAACTTAATAGTCAAGAAAACGGATATTTACTGTATTTCATTCACGTTTAATTGAATTATAATTGTGTATGTTTTTAGAATACTATATCTTTATATCTTATATAAGCAGTTTTGCTAAGTTGAAAGTATGTTCTGTAATATGCATCCATTTTTGACGTTAGTCCAATACTTAAACAACTTAATTCCTTAGCGAGTTATGTATCGTTTGTTTGTAATTAAGCACAAAGCTACACAAAGGGCTATCTGTGCTCTGCCCACCACGGTATCGAAACCCGGATTATAGCGTTGTAAGTCCGCAGACATACCGCTGTGCCACTGGGGGGAAAGAGTTATGTATCATCAATAAGTATAATACGTATTAAAGGTAATATTATTTAAAGACAGAACTGACTATTTTTATGCTAAAATGTCAAAATTCATTAGTCCTTTGCTATATTTCAATGTAAGTTTTTTTTTATTTTATGATTCAAATGTGAAACAAATATTACACTAATCTTATGGACATTCTAATTTGTCAGCCAATGGAAATGTAACATACCAAATAGCTCAAACCCAGTTCAATAAGCGTCCTGTTGTGTCACTTGATACATAACTCAAGTATTTATTATATGTGATATTGCCATGGATATCTGAGCTCAGTCGCGGAGAAGACACAAAGATAGAGAATAGTTTTTAAAGGACTGGTGCCTGACAGATTTAAGGATGAAATACAATACAAATTCTATCATGACAGATTTATCTTTTAGGGAAAGTAGGTGCACAGCAATATGTAGTTTGTTTGGGAATGAACATTGATAAGTATCTCAAACTAACTGGTGATGAAACTTTTATCGGCTGAGTAATAAAATATCAGATTGAAGAACTGTATTCCATGATTCCATTTGGGAGAAATATCCGTCTAAGGTCTTAAGGTCTGTGTAATATAATTGGGGGTTTTCTTGTTAAAACGTCATTCTCCTGATTGTCCGACAGAGTTCTGCCTAGAACTCTTTGTTTGTAAAATACTATTATAGTGAAGAAAAGCAATGTTATACTTTGGTGAGCGATGTTTGTTTGTCTGTCTTGGAGTCGGACATATCAGAAACAAAGAATTAATGTTAACTGTACCTCTCTTCTTCCATGGGCTCTTTTAGCAAATGGGTACAATAATGTGGTCATCATAATTTGATATGACATATATATATATATAGAAAAAACGACGAGTACATATTCCAGAGGCGAAGTTACAACATGCACAGTCCGTTACCACTTGTCAGTTATAATTGGTTGGTTGGGTCTACTAATAGGTAGCTACATTTCATTTGTCTCTTATTTTAAAGGAATATTTTTAAAATAGACATAGCTGAATATAACCACATGACGTGGATGTTGCGGATAAAATATTATTAGCGCTTTTTAAAGCTAACATTTGCTTATTCTCATTCAAATCATAAAGCTAATTTTGTTGTTACATAATGCTTGCTAGAATTGACGAAACAATTTAATTCATTCCCATAAATTGTAGAGTCTGAAGATTTGATGCAAAAGAGACTAATTTGGAAAAAAGATTGAAATTTTACGATGCTTTGGATTTTTAACAGTTCCCTAAAGGATGTCTGGGACCTCCGAATTTGACATATACTACTTAAAGCAGACGATATATGTGAAATATCTGTCTGAGAATGGACATGGACTACATGACATGTGGATACTGATTGAAATGAGTGATTTTCTGTGGAAAATATCCTGTCCCATCATATTATAAATAAGATTTACTTTCTCTGAACTCAACATCAGAGACAGGGTAAATCACCTATGCCAGTATGGCATTGCAGACCTAAGAGTATTGTAATTCTGTGCACACACTGCATCATTATTGTGGTTCCTTGGACTCAAACTGATCAAGGAAAACATATTCACAATTCGTATTACTTTCTTGAAATGTGCAATATCCTGCGAAAATTATCACTAACACTGCTAATGAATCAGAAAATGGTGACTGAACATCAGTGTTTACTGTATGTTATTGATAAGACTTAAATGTATTTTATGTTTAATTTTGTGCTTTTGAAAATTTCTTGGATGACGTGAACAAAATACATAAAATTATGAAATTAGAAGAGTGACTAGAATTCTAATCTTGTAGACCTAATCTATTTTCACCTGCTAACTTCTGTTCCAGAAAAGAACCATATTCGAAATGCCCAGCAACCTTTACAAATGAGTAGTCTTTTTAGCCATTTGTCCTTAGCATTATTCCATTAATTTTTTGTAATATATTTGTGCTAATCTAAGAACATGTGTGGTTTTAAGTTAATAATTGATTTAAGCTTGGAGTATTTGCCAAGAAATTATATGTAATATTGATTATTATATAACGAAAAACAAATTTGATGTAATGATATGATACTCATTTTGACCATTGATTTAAGTTCATGACATATTTTATCCTAAATTTTCAACAAACATTTGATTAGTGTTTAATTCTAGGAAGATGGGGCTCATTTACATAGCTTTTACAGTTAAAATGCTAGTGTGGGTTTTTCCATAAAAATAAATCAGAATGATTATATACGATATATATATTGTAAAATGTAGATGATAAAACGATAGGTATCAAAGTGGTCAAGCATGTATTATTAAGTTAAAATAAGCTGGTACAGCTCTGTATTAACTGAAATTCGAACTGTTTCTATAAATTTCTTTTTAAGTTGCATTCTTCGAATTAAAAGGTAAATAACAATTAAAACAATAATCTACGGTTTTGAAATGAAATTAGTTGGTATTTTAACACTGTTTGTCCAGTATTTACTTCTTTACTTATTTGTGTAGTAACCTAAAAACTAGTCTTTTTTTTTTTTAGCGTGGGACATTAAAACGAACTCTTGGATGCTCTCAAGAGATGCGAGGTGGCAGCAAGATATAATATCTCTTGAATGTCATATTCACAGAATATAATAGAATACACAACAGTTTAGAAAAGAGAACTTTTCAATTTTATGACCTTAAAAGGCTAGAAAAAGAAAAACCAATAACTTAACTTGGACTTTAATTTCCTCCTAACAGTCTCACATTCTAAATAAGATAATAAAAGGAAAATATTTATTTTTGGGATGTTTGACCTTCGACCCCCAAATAATTCGTATAAATGCTCAAATCAAAAAAATGAAAAACATTCTGAGCATATTGGAAAAAGGTACAACCCTACCGATTTTCAAGTCAATCTGTAGAAAAATGAAGGAATGGGTAACGATTGTAAAGCGTTTGGAAGAAGAAGAAGAAGAAACTACAGAAAAGAAACAGGGCGTTTCTCTGCAGAGTGTATTTTGTGTATTAAACAAATAGGGTTGGGGGTAAAAAATTCATTGCTGCTCTCTCCATAGAAGTTAATTGTTTTTCTCTCAATGCAGAAAATATGTTTGATTTCTCTCTATACATATTTATCATGAGAAAATATGTTTTCTGTTGTACTGACAACACCATTTAATATATATCTGTACTAAATAAAGACTTGGGTTTATTAGTACAATTATGTCATTTTGTCAGATTCCGTTTGCAGCTATTATGAAACACGTCTTACCATTATGTTGTCACCTCGGGTTCAGCTCTCGACAGTTATGAATTTTACATTTGCTCCAGATAATGAAATACGTTCTTTGTGTAGCCATCTTACACTGGATGATTTTGTTAAAGGAAGTATAACAGTCCCACTTATACAAGAGGTAAGCCATTTAATTTTATATATGTTTCAATTCTATTCTAGGATTTTTATTCCTATTCCAACGATTTTTTCTTTCTGATTGTTTGTTTGTTTGTAATTAAGCACAACGCTATACAATGGACTATCTGTGCTCTGCCCACCACGGGTATCGAAACCCGGATTCTAGCGTTATAAGTCCGCAGACATACCGCTGTGCAACTGGGGGGCTTCTTTCTTACTAAAACCATTATTTTGACAATATTAAGGGTTATTTATATACACTGATAAACCTAATCAGTATGTTTTACATCGGAAGAATCCCACTTCTACAGTTTATCAATTTAGTGTATAAAACCATCCGTTACTCAATGGGTATAAAATAGTTTCACAACAGAACATTTGTCATACATTACCAGCGTGGTTAAAAGTTTAAAAATTCTTCACTATGTAGAACACATATGTGTAACACCATCCGTTACTCAATGGGTATAAAATAGTTTCACAACAGAACATGTGTCATACATTACCAGCGTGGTTAATAGTTTAAAAA